TAAGTTCTTCAAAGGCACCAAAAACCCATTACTGTCGAGTCAATTCCGACTCATAGCAACCCCGTAGGAGAGAGTAGACTGCCCCGATAGGGTTTCCAGAGAGTAGCTGGTGGATTTGAACTGCTGACCTTTTGGTTAACAGCCGAGCTCTTAAATACTACGCCACCAGGGCTCCCTTATGAAAATAGTGGTACAGGAAATAGCAGAGGAGTCATCTGTAAGAGACCTTGCAGAAGTGGAACGGATTAGTTTTGGTGAATGATTAGAAATGTTGAGAAAAAGGAGTTAGGCAAGAGAAGAAAATTGATAACTTTTTAATTCTCCTCTTCCCCATTCTCCAAAACACATACACCTATACACACACACACACACACACACACCATTACAGTCACTCTATAATTCACAAAGATAGAGAATAAAGGAGGAGAAAGGTTGGGAAAAAAAGATTAGAAATTTTTTCTTCAACCTGACACATCTGAAACACTGGACATATATCTATGTAAAGTTAATCACTTGTAAGTTGACCACTTGGGTCTTGAATTCTAGAGAGATGGCAGAACTAGAGATATCGTTTCAAGAGTCATCTAATTGATATAATAGCTGAATCAGTGGTGAGGTAAAACTCACAAGGTGCAGAGCAAAAAAAAAAAAGAGTGAACCGGAACACACTGAGGACCATTTGGGGCTCAAGAGTTAGCGAAGGAGGCCAAGGTGTGGTGTGAATGCAGGCGAGGAATTTAGAAATGGCAGCATAGTGAAACCAAGGGAATATAGCTTTCTAAGGAGGCTGTCCATCGGTGTCCAACACAGAGATCAAATAGAAGAGAACTATGAAACAGCGACAGACTTGGCAATATGAAGTAATTTAAGATGCAGGGCTGATTCTGGGAAGTATGTTCTAAATGCAGACTGAAAATTGTCTATATACAAGTGAAAATTAAAGCCATACAAGTGAAATTAAAGAAAGGAGACAGGAGGGGGGATATTGAAAGGTGAGAGCAGAAAATGTTGGAAAGTGACCTCAAATCACCTAAGGAGATGGAGAGGCCCAAGGACTGTGAAAAAGCCACTGGGTTTGGTGATTAGGAAGTCACTGGTACCTTTGGGAGTATCTGCGTGGTGTAAACAGTTAACGTACTCAGCTACTAACCAAAAGGTTGGAGATCAAGTCTACACAGAGGTGCCTTGGAAGAAACGTCTGGTGATCTACTTGCAAAAAACCAGCTATTGAAAACCATGTGGAGCACAATTCTACTCTGACATACATGGGGTCACTATGAGTTGAAGTCGATTTAACAGCAACTGGCGGTGGTGGTGGTGGTACATTTCGAGAGCCTATTCAATGAAATGGCTTATTTTTGAGTTATTCATTTATGAATTCAAAACCCTGTAATGCATCCATAATTTCTGTAAAAAGGCCTGTTTCCACATGGTGAGCTCAGTCCTTTGGGAGCCGAATTATCAATGCTACTATTTAAAATAGCAAAACAAAAGCCATGCAATCAAGTCAGATGACGGTGATTGGCCCCTAAAGAAGACATGGTGTGCTCAGCTCTAGCAGGGAACTGCCAGTCTCATTAGATACACTAACCTCAAAAATGCTCAGCTAGATGTTAAAGGAAAAACTAGACGCTTGTTTTCCGTGCCAAGCAAATATTCTATGCATGCTCCGAGGCCCGTGACCTCAGTCAGAGTGAGTACATTTAGTCTAACCTGCTTCCTGAGTAACACCATCACCATCATAAAACTGCTCCTGGAGAACTGACTGTTGTAGATACAGTGTTACATTTTCTTTTCTTTCAAAGGCAGGATGTTAAATTCATCGTTTGAGGAAAGTCTTGGAGGCCAATGCAAACTTCGGGCATTGCTGTTGTTGACCCTTCGCTTGATTCAACCTGTGGTTTTCATGTGTGCATGTTTATTGGTAATGAGTGGGCGCTGGGAGGTCTGTCCCAGGCTGTCTCAGAAGGCTGCAAGTGAAGCTGGAATGATATCAGGTGCAGGGCTGCAGTAACGGACTCATGTGCATAGTTATAGTCAAATTCCTTCACGGCCATGCTCACACTGCAAGCATAAGGGAGGATGGAGCTTCCCTGAACCCATTGTGCCGCTAGGATTAGTCTGCTCCAGTTGATCCTTGCTTTGTTCTCTGTTTCTGTTCTTCACTATGAGCAATGGGGTTGTGCAGGGCTCAACACAGCTCCCTTCCCTTTAATGGCAATGCAGACCCATTCATTGAGGAAGAAGAGAGAATTCCAACTGCCAGAGCCAAAAGGTGATTGTGAAGGAATTCCACATATTTTAATTTTTGGAATCTGTGAGTAGACACTAGATTTGGCAGTAGGTAGATTTGCATGGAAAGGTGGGGGAGACATATCTCTTGTCATCATGATTACACCTAGCTGGGTTTTGAACTATTTTCTACTTTTCATTTCAAAGTAGTCTTCACTGGAATATAAAAGCCTTTCTGTTGGCTAGGATGGTGAACGTTTCTTGTCCCTTCATCAGGGGACAAGAGTTGATTTTCTTACACAAAAGTCTGGTGTCTAAAGTAGGCTGTGGGTAACTCAGAAAGTGATCACTAAGGTCTTATGTAAAAGTTAAAGCAGAACAAGTTTTCAGAAACCCACAGCAAAAGTTCTGAATTCTAACAGGCTTTGTCCACATGGTTAACATTTGATACTCTCAGTGCTCACTGCTGGTCCTTATGTAGGTACTACATTTGCTTAAGAGTTAAAACAGGTGTCCTCACCAGCCATAAACAAGATTTTCAGAGGCGATTCTGGGGTGCCTGTGTGGGAATGGCTTTACGTAACTGAAACAGAACTCTGAGCACCACGGAACTCCAGTTCCAAAGCTAGACATATCAAAAAGTAAAGTTATCCGAGGAAGCAAAGAGTCTAAAGAATGTCACTGACAAAGAGGATAACAAAGTGATAAAAGGCAAACGGTCCCATAATATTTAGTATATGTTTCATTATTAGCAAGACTCAGTCTGTCTTAACATGGTGTTGGTTTACATTTTAAATTGGCTAAAAATAACCTTCAAAACCCTAGATTTTCTGAAGCAACAAACAACATAGCCTTCACTTCAAATCACATATCATTTCTCCAACATAAAAAAGCAGCAGTTAAGTAAGTAAGAGTCCTTTTCCTCCAAAAAATCTAGGCTGTGATCCCACAATGTCATCACTCATATTCCAATCCAGAATCTCATACAAATTCTTCTAGCACCTTCAACTGGACTTGCTGGCCTTCTGGTCCTAGCTCACATTCTCTTTGTAGTTGATAAAGTAATGAATCCCCTTCCCTAAGACGTCCATATCCTAATGCTCAGAACCTATGAATATGTTAGATTATATGGCAAAGGGAATCAAAATAGCAGGTGGAATTAAGGTTGCTAATCAGCTGAACTTAAAATAGGGAGATTAAACAAAAAAATTAAATAGGGAGATTATCCTCGATTATCTGGAAGAGCTCACTGTAATCACAAGGCGTCTCAAAAGTGGAAGAGGGAGGCAGAAGGGAGGGTTAGAGATATAGACGGAAACAGGGTCAGAGAGAAGCTAATCTGCTGGTTTTGAAGATGGAGGAAGAGGGGTATGAGCTAAGAATGCAGGCAGCCTCTAGAAGCTGGAAAAGACAAGGGAACAGATTCTCCCCTAGAGCTTCTACAAAGAAATGCAGTCCTGCTCACACCTGGATTTTAGCCCTGTAAGACTGATTCCCTGGGTGGCGCAAAAGGTTAAGCGCTCAACTACTAGCCAAAAGGTTGGTGGTACGAGCCCACTCAGAGACGTCTCAGAAAACAGGCCTGGAGATATATTTCTGAAAAGTCACAGCCTTAAAAACCCTATGAAACAGTTCTACTCTGTACACACAAGGTCACCATGAGTCAGAATCAACTCAACAGCAACCAACAACAACAAGAAGACTGATTTAGGACCTCCAACCTCCAGAACTGTAAGACAGTAAATTTGTGTTCTTTTAAGCCACTAAATTGGTGGTAATTTGTTACAGCAGCAATAGGAAACTATGATACATCCTGTTACGAAGCAAAGACAACCTCATCTCTAGAAACTCTAATGTAACTCTAGGACTAAACAGTGTCCTGAGTTTCTTTGGCAATACAGCCTGTTCATTTTTCCCCCTAGTTAAACTCCAGCATCCAGCTGTGTGCTAATCCAGAGATAAGGTGATATAAAATGGCACATCATCTTCTAAATTTGTTGGCTGGTACGGCTGGAGAAGCAATTCCCGCCCCCACCCCCACCCCCATTTACTGCAGAGGAATGTAGCACTATAGTTAGAAAGTCATCCCGGACCTGCATTAATGCAATGTTTAATATCTGCCTTTTCAGTTTCCCTGTTCTTTTTTTTTGTTTTTCCTAAAACAACCCTGTGTGCTTTGAATGCTGGGATAATCTCCTGAGATTATCCAAATCTAGAGAGTCTCACCTCCCTTATGATGCAGATTTTTGTACCATGCCCCAAACAGTTCAGAGATTTGATAATATTTAATACAGCACAACAGTAAATGGTCCTGTGTTACAAGTGAGTAATTTAATTAAGATGCTAAGACTTCGAATAGCTAATGTAAGCACATGAATAGATTTTACATGCAATTTTGCATAACTTTTTTTGTTTTGTTTTGCTTTAAGTTGAGAAAGAAAAAAAAAAAAAAAAACCAGCAAGAGATCCTCTGAGTAAGTTAATGTATTATGGACCAAGGATGAGGGGCCCTTTTATGTAACAATTTTCAGGATCCTATGGGAAGGAGAACATGACTAAACTCCATGCTTGGAGATAAATTAGGATGTGCTGGGTCTTTTTCAATCCCTGTGCCCCAAATGAGCAGGAAATTTGATTTCTCTAACAAGGAACAAATAATGAATCACCAGGCTAGGTGAGTGGCAAGGCACAATTACATCACCTGCAAGAGAAAGGGGTGTAGGGTGTAGCCCACAGAACACAGCTGAAAATAGAACCCAAACACTTACCCTCATGTCGCCATTCACAGTTTTTGGTATGTGATTAAATGCATGTGCGGGATCCTTGTTGTACACTTTAAGGAGAGATCTGTCCTGAATGTTCCTGGAATCAAAAACATCAATAACTATGGCAGATGAAAGGAGCCTGATTTTGGCCATTTCCTTTGCCTGCTCTTAAGAATCAGGCAAAAGACATCACCAGACAACTCAGCACTGTCTGCAGTAAATCAGATAGAAAATTTTTCTATCATAGAATAGGCAAAAATAAATAAGGGAAATAAGAAAAATGACTTGAGCTTTTCCTTTCTTTTTTTGTTCCTCAAGGGAAATATTATCCTTTAAGTATTGTTCTCTGCCCATAAATATCAGGTAGCGTGAGCTTTCTTTCAAGATTCTGAGCAGGGAAAGCTAACACTTTCCAAAACAATAAAGCTCCAATATTTACAAAATGTTCAAAGAGATTTAGTTAATATTTAAATATTTAATTGTTTACTTTGCCCAAACACCTGGGTTTCTGCCTGTCTAACTAATGCAAACAAAAGAAAAATGCTTTTTTTTTCTTTCAAACATGTTCAGTAAAGGAAAGAAAATGTATCTGCAGTCCAGGACAAAAAAAAAGATAAAGATCAAAACTAATATCTTTACAATACCTTTTTCTCTTTTGTAGTGGATTTTTAAAAATACTTTTTTACAAATTGAGTTCCTGAAGGAATAGGGTATTTGGGAGGAATGTTGCTGTTGTATGCCATCAAGTTGATTTTGACTCATAGTGACCCTATAGGACAGAGTAGAACTGCCCCATAGGGTTTCCAAGGCTGTAATCTCTATGCAAGCCGACTGCTACATATTTCTTCTGGGGAGTGACTGGTGGGTTCGAACTGCCAACCTGTCGGTTAGCAGCCGAGGGCTTAACCACTGTGCCACCAGGGCTCCTTAGAAGGAATAGCAGTAGATAAATTCTTCTACTCACCCATCTCTCCTGAGCCCAAGCACTTAAAGCCCAGGAGTCATAATGCAGCAAAAGACAGAAGCCTACCTTAAAACTATTTAAGAGCATATGAATGCATGTGAAGTCCTCTCCTCCTTTCATCTGCAGAAGGGCCACCCAAATGCACCCCCAGCCCTGTCTACACTGTGTGTGATGCCATTCAGTCCCACAGCAGCACGCTCAGGGAAGTGTGTGGAGGGGGCCACATTCCTTTCCTCCAGGTGCAGCCACATTTTTAGTGGGCTGATCTCAATCACCAGGATTACTGGGTTTTGTTCTGTTTTAAATGAAGTGGAGGAATCTTGGACTAGTCTTGTTTCTTTCCTTTAAATATCTGTCAGTAATTGCTTTGAAGCAACGACTAGTCCAATCTTGCACTGTTGCTCCAGGTTTCAAGTAACTCGTTAGTGTCTGCTTAAGGGGGAAGAGAGCAGTCCTTGTTATTAAAAGTCTAGGTTAACACAAAGGGAGAGTTCACAGAAGGTAAAGAAGTGGGGATTCACTAAAAGAACTTAGCCTTTCCTAGGGAAAAACAATCTCACTGTGACAATGTGCAGAAACTGAAAACCTTATTTAAACCACGATAAAAACTTACTGTGATTGTAAAGATATTTAAAATACATGATGTTGGTTTATGATCAATTTAGAAACATGTTCATCCTAGATAAACCAACAGTATAAGTCCAGATTGTATTTGCCATGGCAACATTTACAACACAGAATTCCAACCTGAACTCTCTATGGCATTTCCCTAAAGGAAATATACAGAACACAATACAATGATGAAATAGCCAAATGTTTAACAAATATACTCTCATTTCAAAAACATGGAAGGATATGAAATGAAATTTGTCTCTGGGTTTTGAAGACTGAAGCCATTGTCTTCAGTAAAAACCTACATGATACATTCTTTTCGTCATTGTTGCTCTTATATAATGCTGGCAGTTAGAATTTATTTTACCATTCTAATAAAAATACAACTCAGACATTTTATGCATAAAAACAAAGAAATAGAATAATCCCTTAGAAAGAACATAAATGTGATCATTAAGCATAAACTTTATATTCATCATCAAATTACAATGTTCCCTCCACTTAAACATTTTAAATGAGATTAAAAAAAGAAAACCAGGCTACCAATAGTGCAGCTAAAATATCAAGAAGATGATCATCCACACAAATCTAAGTACTACGTTAACTGAGAATTATTAGTGTTTAAAGTGATAACTTCTTCTCTCAAGTGTTTCTTTTATCTATTTTATCAAGTGAATTTCCATTAAGGGCAGATCATCATCTAAGTTTGGAAGTTTTGGGGACCTTCTCCTTCGTGTCCTCCCTTTTCATTTTTTTGTGACCACGTCACAACACTACTAAATAACAGGAAAAAAGACACAGTAGTAAAACTCAAATAATTTGACTTTATGGTGTGTGAGTGTTCTAGAAAATGGTAACTCATTATAATATTAAAATCCTTGCACAGGCTTCAAGACAGAGGGGTCAGATTGTTCATAATAACCTCTTTAGCCTTGAGCTCCATAATCAAGAGTGGCTTTGTTCAGTTTCATGCTTATTTATTGTTACTGTATCCCTCAATTCCTCTAACTGCAAAACAGAAATACAGATGATTAATGTAAAACAGCATTTCAATGTAAAAACACTATGTGGTATTATATATTACTGTAAACATACTCTAAATATAACATGATTATCTCACAGTTAAGTTTATGTCTTACAAATTTAATTTTTTTTTGGTGACAGCTTGATTAATAATTTATTTCAAAAAAAAATTTTCTGATATCCATTAATATTTAAACACATTTGTAAAAAGCCAGACTGTTGTGTAGCACCTATACCTAAGGGCATGTGTCAGATTTGAAGGCCCTAAATTACTCATACACCTCAGCACATGCCTAAATATGTCATTTGTGATAATTGTTAGATATTTATTGGTTTACATTTATTTTGCACTAGAGGCATATTTTTTAAAAGTGGTATCCTTTAATTCCACCATGAAAAAACAAGTCCCTATGGAGCAGGAACCCTGAAATCCCAATTTCTGACCCAGATGCATGGATGAGGGAACATTCCAAGAGAGTTAAAGAGTTCTCAACTAAGAATATGGAGAACCAGGTTTGTTGCTGAGCCTGGGAGCTAACTGACTGTGCAGTCTGGAGTAAGTTCTTTAACTGTTGTGCTCTGCATAACACAAATGTTTCATAACATAAGTGAAAAGGCTGAATTAGTCACTAGAAAAATTTCAGGATTTAGGCTATAGTAGCGACTGCTTATTTGTGTGAATTTAAGTCCTGTTTCTCAGGTTGTTTTGCTGGGACAGATCAAATGGGTCCTTTCTGTTCTATACACAACATCATTACATTAACAAAGATGATTCATTTCCATGCCATCTGCAACAGTATGAGCCCACTTAGCCTCATTGTAGAGTGCATTCAACTAGGGGCCCTGGAGAAAGCCCACCAGGAAAGTGAGATGTTTTTGGTAAACGACAATTATTTAAGAAACCAATGATGAGTGTGAATGTCTCTTAACCTCTTTTCTTATGGATAACAACATAGAGTCTACTGCTTTCATTCTAACTTGTTAGGTATGAACAGTATAGCCACAAGAATCATTACTAAAAAATCCACAGGCTTTGTCTGTGAGAGAAAGAGCACTTGAGAGAGAACTGAGAAAGTTCCAGTCCTGAGTACAGTCTTCAAATCTCATGACCTTGATTGAGTCTCTTCACATTTTTGGGCCTTAGTTTCCCAACTCTTATCCAACTCTTGGGAAACTCTTAAGTTTCCCAACTCTTGAGTTTCCCTAACTTTTAGATAAAACAGTGGATGGGATGGTTTCTAGCATTCTTATCAGATGTAACATTCAAAGATCTACAGAGAAGTCTATCCTCATCTTTATAAACTGCACCTTGCGAATGAATTGCACAAAACTGGGGAGTGAATTCACACGTGGATGAGCTAAGCCTGCCAGTCAGGATAATAACTACTTTATTCACTGGGACATTGAGAAATTTGGACTCTGCACAAATTACATCAATGCTCAATGCAACACAGTGGATAAAAAAATGGCATTAACAACTCACCTGACATCATTTAATTCATAATACACATTTCTGCTTTCATCTTTGATGTAAATGGCAACACTTGGAGACTCCAGCATTTTCATGGTGAGCTGCTGTGGAAAGGCACTTACGAAGAGAGCACGGATTGTGTCTGCACTTGTAATTTCATTCGGCATCCTGAGCTGCTTGGTTTCATCTCCATACTGAAGATAGAGAACTCCTGTGCGCAAAAGGAACACAGTTATCAGTCACAGGTCATGACTCACGGATAGCAGCACAAGCTAAGTCACTTCAACCCTTCCTTGGGAGTTCCAAGGAATGCACTATCTAGTTTTCACATTAGTGCCTGCTTTTATTCTTTGGAGTCCAGGAGGTGCTAAAGAGGCTACTTTTCAATTATTTAGAAACCAAAAAAAGCAAGAAACTAACCTCTGGTAGACTAGAACAAAAGACAATACTTAATTCCCTTGGAAGGTACATTTAGGAATCTGATCCTGTAGGGTGATTTTTCCATGTCTTTCATTAACACAATCATTACAGCAATGGGTGAGCTATATAGCTTAAGTCTTTATAGTCCGTTCAGAAACATCTTAAGTTAAAATGCTGACAATATTTCTGTGGCTCTAATGCATATTTATTGAATGTTCATACCATAATCTACAAGAAAAAATTCTGACATGCCAAAGTTTTGGAAACAAAATGGAACAAATCAGTTATACAATGAAGAACACGAACATAACCTGTTGCCGTGTAGTTGTTGCTGACTCATAGCGACCCTATAGTAGAACCGCCCTATAGAGTTTCCAAGGCTATAATCTTTATGAAAGCAGACTGCCACATCTTTCTCCCGTGGAGAGGCTGGTAAGTTCAAACTGCTGATCTTTTTGGTTAGCAGCCAAGCACTTAACCACTGAGCCACAAGGGCTGCTTAACATGAACATTAAAAAAAACAAACAAAAAAAACCACCCAAACTCATTGCCATGAAGTGGCTGGTGCATTTGAACTGCCAATCCAGCAACCCTATAGAGCGGAGTAGAACTGCCCCATAGGGCTTTCAAGGAGCTGCTGGTGGATTCCGACTGCCTACCTTTTGATTAGCAGCTGAGCTCTTAACCACTGCACCACCAGGGTTCCAACATGAACATAGGCTCATAGAATTTTAGAGTTCCAAGGACTGTGTTGCCCCTAGAAAACCATGCCTCTCGGTATTCATGCCCTTCTGTGGATTTTTCCCACACTGAGTCTGGGCTTGGTCATGTGACTTGCTTTGGGCAATGGGACATTAGCAAGTGTGGTGTAAGTGGAGGCTTGAAAAGTGCCTGTAAATTGGAGCTTGCCCTCTTGGCAAGCTTAGTCTTGGGATGCTCCCTGGCATCCCAGCTTCTGAGGAGTCCAACTTAGCCACATGGAGGAGAACCCAAGCTCTGACTGACAGTTGCAGCAAAACGCCCATTCTACAACCAGAACTATCTGCTAGTCATGTGAGTGAGCCATCTTGGAAGTGGATCCCCTAGCCCCAGCTGAGCTGCTCCAACTGATGCCATGGGAAACAGAAATGAGATGTCCCCTCCAAACCTTGCCCAAATTGCAGAATCGTGAGGAAATAAATGACTATGGCTGTTTTAAGTCAGTATGTGTTGGGGTCGTTTGTTATTCAGCAATAGATAAATGAAACAAGGTATCTAAGATTCTGACATTTAGTTTGCATCCTACTTTTCAGGAGAATCTGCTGGGGAAGGACTACTACTGGGGAAGGAAACAATCAAAAGAGGAAGAGAATATGACTTCTGCTTTAATATGTCAATTTGTATAACAAAGTTATCTCTACTTCCTCATAAACCTCATTAAAATGACAATAAAGAATTAAAAAGGCATAAATCCAAGAATTAAGAGAATAGGAGAGGAAACAATAGCTGACAAGAGAAAGCTGCTTTTACCTAAGTCTTCAAGGGGAGAACTCAACATAAAACAAGCAGTTTCAGGGAACAGCAGAAAATAGGCACCAGATATTTCTGAAGGCAGGAATGCAGAGTGAGTTGAAAGCATGAGAACTAATTGAACTTAATTTTATTTTTTATTTTATGGAGCAGTAAGATGCCCATCCACCACCCATCTGTCAGTTTGTTAATAGTGTGGTGGCTTGGGTGTTGCTATGATGCTGGAAGCTATGCCAGCAGTATTTTAAATACCAGCAGAGTCACCCATGGTGGATACATTTCAGCAGAGCTTCCAGACTGACAGGCTAGGAAGAAAGGCCTGGTGATCTATTTCCAAAAATTAGCTAAGGAAAGCCTTATGAATCACAACAGAATATTGTCCAATATAGTGATGGAAGATGAGCTCCCCAAGTTAGAAGGCACTCAAAATACACTTAACATAACAATAGTCTCTGGCATACCAATGAAGATGGCGCAGGTCCAGGCAGCATTTCATTCTTTTGCACATGGAGTCGCCATGAGTCAGAGCTAAGTCAATGGCAACTAACAACAACAAAGATACCTGTATCTCCCCTTCCACCCTACACAGCCGAGCAACTCCCCATGGCCACCCCAATAGAAGACAAAAGGGGTCAAACTCTTGATTCTGTTTATGAGGCACAGATGAGAGTTGGGTAAGGTACCTCTTGACAAAATGCTGAAAAGAGGCTTTGTACCTCAGTCAGGAGAATGGAGGGTCTCCTCTAGGAAAACTGACTAACCTACTAAAATGAAATCAACAGATTTCTGAGGGATCCCTGTGAACTGTCCGGGTCCTGTCTGACCAGCCCATAGAGAAGCAGCCCTACCTACGTATGAAAGCCTCCAATTAGCGTGGCAGTCCTCAATCATGCTTTACCAGACTGCCCAGGGCTAACAAACATCTTACAAATGCCTCTAACACAAAAGAAAAGACCAAAAAAAAAAAAAAGAAACTCAGAAGTAAGGAGACAGTTCAGGAAGAGGGAAACATTTGGAGAACAAGAGTGAGCTCTGAGGATCATGAAAGAGGATTAAAAATTCAGTAGAAAGAGACGAAATGTTGATAAAATCTCTCAGAAAGTGGGATATAAAAGACAAAAGGGGGAAACAATAAGAAAATTAAAGAATTATTTCAGAGCATCCAGACACCTAATAATGGACAGTTGAGTAAAAGTGATCAGGAAAAAGAGAGAAGTTTTCCAAAATGTACTATAAGAAAATTTTTCCTCAAACTAAAGGACATGAGATTTCTGATTGAAAGGCTCATCAAATGCTCAAACACTCAGACTCATCATGGAGACATTTCAGATGGCAAGAGATAAACAGAGGAGCCTAAAAGCTTCCAGAAGTTTAAAAAAAATAAAAGTCACATGCAAAGGATCAGAAGTCAGAAAGGCATTATCTTTTTCAACAGCAATCCCAGAAAACAAAAGAAAATAGAGCAAAGCCATAAAAAATCCAAGGGGAAATATTTTCGATCTACGTCTGTACCCATCCAAACCATCCGTAAACAATGAGTGTAGGATAAAAATATTTCCAGGCATGCAAATGTACCTCCCATGCACTCTTTCTCAGGAAGCTATTAGAGGGACATGTCTCACAAAAAAAAAAAAAAAAAAAAAAACCAAGAATTTAAACAAGAAAGACGACGATACAGGAGCCAGGAAACAAGGGATCCAATCCACAGAGTAATAAATGGAATTTCTAGGATTATGATACAGAAGATTCAGGAGGACAGCTGTGCAGGGTGTCTAGAGAACAACCTCAGATTGGATTAGGTAAATAGAAAGCTTCAGGAGGGATATCTCCAAGAAAAAAAAAATGATACAGATAGGAGGAAACTGACGGAATAGGGAGAATAGTTTCAGTTCTGTCTGAGAGTTTGAAAGACCCACAGAAAAATCAGCAAGTGAAAAGTAAAGGCAATTATTGAGTTTATAAAATCACAAAGTTGCACAGAAAAGGAATTTTAATCATATAATACTATAGAGTTCAACTCTGAATAATGTTTATATAGCCAAAATAATGTTTTAATTATTTAAAAGGAATGATGCAAGTATGGTTGGGAGGATGGGAAAAAGGGAAGTGTTTGTGTGCATGTGTCGAAGGGAGGGGTAACTGGTTGCCACTGAGTCGATTTTGACTCAAGGTGACTTAATGTGTGTCAGAGTACAACTGTTTTCAATGGCTGATTTTTCGGAAGTAGATCTCAGGCCTCTCTTCTGAGGTGCCTCTTGGTGGATTTAAAACCCCAGCCTTTTGGTTAGCAGCCAAGCATATTAACCATTTGCACTATCCAGGGACTCTACAGTTAAGTCTTTATTATCCATAGCTGGAAGTCAATGAAAATATGCTGAGTGAAATAGGTCAGACACAAAAGGCCACATATTGATTGGTCCTAGTTACAAGAAATATCTAGAACAGACAAATGCATAGAGACAAAAGTTTGTTAGTGCATACTAATTAATGGAGGAGAAGGGAATGGAGTTATTGCTGAAGGGGTACTGAGTTTCTGTTTGAGATGATGTAAAACTTTTGGAAACAGATAATAGTGATGGTAGCACAATATGATGAACATAATTAATGTCACTGAATTCTACATATGAATGTTGTTGAAATGTCAAATGTTTTGCTACACATGTATTTACCATAATATATATATATTTTTTAAATTTAACTGGTAATAAAAAAAAGAATTTAGCTCAGAAAAAAAAATTTTAAAAGGGTAAATAGCAATTTTTTTTTGTTATATATATTTCACCGCAATAAAATTTTAAAGAGAGAAAGAAGATGTAAGCGGCCTTAAAAAACTACTCAACTTATTAATAAAATAGCTTAGAGACCTTTCCATAATTAGCATAGACCACCCTCATTTCTTTTTTTTTTTCATTTTTTTATTGTACTTTAGATGAAGGTTTACAGAATAAATAGTTTCTCATTAAACTACAGTACACATATTGTTTTATGACATTGGTTAACAACCCCATGACATGTCAACACTCTCCCTTCTGGAACTTGGAGGACCTTTTTTTTGGTGAAAGTATACATAGCCAAAGTTACACCATTTCAAAAGCTTCTAGGTGTACAATTCAGTGACATCGATTACATTCTTCCAGTTGTGTTGCTATTCTCACTATCCTTTTCCAAATTATTCCATCACCATTATCTTCAATTCACCACCCCCTAGGCTTCCCATCAAACCTTTTGAGTTGCTGTTGTCAATTTGATCTCAGATAGATAATTTTTTTTTTTGGTACCTTA